AAAAAAAAAAAAAAAAGTAAAATAAACTAATCTTTAACAGCAACAGATTCACTGCAGCAGTAGGCCTGGCTTTCTCAAGACTACTCATAGCCATAGAGAAGTGGGGCTGGAAGGGACCCCAAGGGTTATCTAGTCCAACCCCCTGCCAAAGGCAGGATCAGCCCTATCCAAACCACCAGCCCTATCCTATCCATACAACCATAATCTCAGCTCTACATCAGACTACCACCAAACCTGATTCAAGATAGTCCAAAGGCCTTTCTGCTAAAAGTGTTCTATTCAAAAAATACATACATAAGCACACAAGCATACATACCTACATATGCATATGTACTATATTTTCTCAGGTAAAATGCGCGCCCCCCCCCACCAGCTGCTGGAAATCTGAGTGTGCATTATATGCAAGAAATACAGTAAAAGCAGTGTCTGGCAGTTACCAGGCAGAAGCATAAGTAAAATCTGTACACGATCCACAGGGAGCACAACAAAGAGCAGGCTCAGCTCCCTTCCTGCTGCTATTCAGTTACCTGCTCCAAAGAGGTTTTTTTTCCTTCATGCTGCCTGTAAAAAGCAAGGTGCCTCTCTTACTCTAGGGTGTGTTGTATGTGAGAAAGTATGGTAGCTACAAACCTACTAGTTTGCATGTGGATATCACAAAGAGCACCGTCTTTTATCCAGTAAGAACATGCCATGTTGACCTAGGTTCATGCAGTAATGTTGTTGTTTGGCATTGCAAATAGATTCCTCAGGTCTTCAGATCTATAGGACAGGATCTACACTTGAGAAAAGGAATCCTGATTCCCATCGTACTAAGGGTAGCTGTTGGACAAGCTACGAAGAGAGTTATACAGCGAGAGATGCAGGATTCAGAGGGCTTCACCAATGTTGCACAGGCCAATCCTGCCAGGCACCAAGCACCCCCTGGCTGAGAACCCTGAAAGATTGGGTTTCCAGGGCCAGCTCGTTCCAAGGGCACTGACTCTGCACTCAGTAGTAGCTTGTGCTACTGAACCAGAGGACTTTCCACCATCCACAGGGGCTGAGTCAGAGCTTCGGTTCCTCTGGGCAGTGAGTCAAGCCAACCAGGCATACAGCTCAAAGCTATGTACTACTCTATTGGCAAGGCTCATCACCTTCTTTCCAGGCTGTTCCAGTACTGAGGGATATAACAGTTCCTGAGAACTGCTCTGAAGAGCCTGTTTCCCTTGCCTTCTGATGGACACGTGAGTAACAGGCTAATAATGTACATGTGGACAGGTGACAGAAATTATTTGCCTAGAGACTCTCAGCTGTCCTGCTCATCCTGGCTACCTTTGTCTGAACAAGGTGTCAGATACTCCAGGCATCTTCTCCAAACAGGATTTCGGGGAACCACCCTGCTACAGCAACCTAGCAAAGGTCTGCTTCAAAAGGACCTTTGACTATATGATTTTCTTGCGTCTCTGAAAGTGCAGAGAAATGGGGAGGCACCTTTTTCTGCCTGGATGCTGAATGCTGGGGACCACGCATCAGATCCACACAAAACACCCTAGAATTAGAAAAAGCAGAGCTGGAAGGGGCCTGGAGGGCACCTCAATTTCACCCCCTCTGCATCAAGGAAGGATCAGCAATGTCTATCCCACTCCCAAAGGTCTTTTGCCCACCCCGCTCTGGATGGAGACACAACAAGCTCCCCATATAATCTCTTCCAGTGCTTACCCATCCTCACAGCTAGAAGGTTTTTGCCAGCATCCAACCTAAAGTCTCCATGCAAGCTAAAGCCATTGCTTCTTCTCCTATTAATTATTGATCATTAGAGTCTGGCAAGAAGCTATCTTCTTAAAAGCACCTCCAAATGGAAATGGCAATTTGCTTGGAAAAATAAGTCTCTCAAGGATTCCCTGCTGTTTGAAACAGGAGGATGAGTGAAAGGAAAAGAACAGCTAAACTCAGGATTGTCTGTGACCACCTCATCTTAAATGGTCACTAAAGGGCTAGAGAAGGGACTGAAAGAGTCAGACTTACGAACACCCTACCACAGGTTTGCTGCCTAGCCCTGGCCAAGTCATTTAAATTGCTGTTCCTCAGTGATGGAGGAGGCAATTCCTGGCCCTTGGGCAGCGTGCTGTGCAGGGGCTCATTGATCTCAGGCCCACATGAGACTGCAGGTTTGGCCATGGCATTGAATGAGCCTAGATCTTTTCAGATATAGGGACACTTGGCCAGGGTGACAGGAGACATGTGGGCTCACCTCAGCAGCTGAGGCTGACCAATTGATCATCTACAGGTGGGCCAGACCTGGCAAAAGCTAGCTGGACAGGTGAGAGCCCTGGACCCAACAGCACAGGAACAGGGCAGGATGCACTTCTACTAGCCTGCTACACACCTCCAGGGAGGAAAGCAGTCAGGAGAAATGCTTTCTGCCTCCTGGACATCCTCTCCTAAGGCTGTGGGGCATCCGGTGACAGTTTTGTTTGGAACTAAAGAGGCTCCTTCATTTACTTCCTTACAGTTTTTGGCCTAAGGCTTCTAACAAGCTCACTGATCACTAGTGATACACAGCCCACCGGCTGGGAACCACTGCACTAAAGCACTTCTGCTTCCATATACTAAGAGAGCCAGCTCCTGATGGATGCCTGGTTTTGCAGCACAAACTCAAGCAGTATAGTGCTGAATAATGCAGATAATTAGCGATCAGCATAAAGCACAAGTGGCTGCCAAATTCCTTATTTTCTGTCTGAATTCCTTGATGGCAGCCTCTCTCTTCGTGAACACAAGTCACAAACCTCTATGAACTTCACCACCGAGTTTTGACAGGCAGATGTCTTGGTTGTGATGAGAGCCCTTGAATGGATGGACAAGAGAGACTACTCTGCAGGAGTGGACCAGAGAGGAGTGATGAGCACAGAGGCTGGTTTCTCAGCTGGGTTTGCCCACCCCAGAACACCCTGATGGGAAACCCTTGATATCTGAAGCCCCACAACAGAGACAGGTCCTTGAACCGTCGAGCCATTTAGATATCCATCAACACTCCCCATCTGCAGGCACAGCGGGGATGTGGCAGAGAACATCCGAAGGCAGCTCAGTTACAGAAGTGATGCGGTCTCTGTGGGCCCCTCCCTGAAAACCTTACCCACCAGCATGGTCTACCTCTCAGTTTACTCATGAGAGCAAAGGCTGTGGAATCTGAGCCAGATCAGCAGCTTCTACCCAGCCTAAATAGGCCCCAGAGGGGCTGCCATCAGGCAGCCACTGTCAGGACTCCTAGTTCAAATGCAGCAGTACCAAGACAAATATTTGCATCTCTGACTCCGTGCTGGGAAAAGTCCCCAGTCCCCTGAGGTTTATTTTTATCATGCATCTGCTCTTTGCATCCACAGTGACAAGCAACGCATTCCAGGCAGCAGGAAAGGCATCTACCAGAGACAAATATAGCACCCAACTGCATTTCCAGGAGCATATGGTCGATATTCATTACATAATCATACGCTGCTCAGGGTTCAGATTCGGCATCAGTCCATCCAGCTTGCAAAGGCCCTGGAGGGGTTTAAAAACACGTCATGGCTACTGGTGGCTACCACAAGCACGCAGCAGACACCGAAAGGCTCATGTGCTAATGATGCAGAGAGGAGAGGTAGGATGCGGGTGAGTTATGTTGATGACCTTCAGTTCTTTCTCAGCCTCACCACTGTTTCTTGCAATAGTCTAGTAGCTGGAGGTGAAGGAGTCATTTGGGCAGAGTTTCTGTGTCTTTGTACAAGAGAGGGGACCTGCAAGGTCACTACTGACTCACTCCAGAGTTGAACACAATGTTTTCTGAGAGTTCAGCAGCACAGGGGGGGCTTCATGGGAGAGCAAATCCTGTTGAAGCTATTTCCAAAAGAAATGCAAGCTATGCTAAGTGTTCCTCGCCCAAGGACAGCCAGGGAGAACAAGAGAGAGACTTTGCTGCACTTGTTCCTTCCCAATGCTTCTCAAAGCCTCCAGCTATTTGTGCTCACTGCGGTCATGCTGATCAACGAGAAGCATCAAAAGAATCCATGAGAAGTGGAAGCGGGGACCCCCCTTCAATGTAGCTGAGTTTGCCTAATGATTCAGAGTGTAAGGGGTGGCTCTGGGTATATGCTTTTCTCAAACGAAGAGCAGAACAATCATCTCTGTCAGAACAACTGCTGTTACAGGGAAGAGAAAAACAAAGAGCCAAAGTCAAATCTCCAAGAAAAACAGAAAATGCACCAGGGGGTAAAATCCCAGTTCCACTGACATCCCCACCAGCTTTGCTCTCACTAAGCTGGGGCCGGGAAATTGTTCCCAGCACATCCTTCTTTAACGGTCTCCACCAGCCTCAACCAAATGGAGGCCTACCTCTGCCCAGAGCACTGTATCATGACTGAAAGGAGCAGGACTCAGAACCCAAAGGTATCATCATTACATGCTGCTAGCCCTGCGTCCGCGGCAGCACAACAACCCCTTCCCCTTTGCCCATGGCCTAGCTGGCTTCCTGGTCTTTGATCCCCACGGGTCCATGCCACACAGGCAGCCACTCAACCATGGGCAGGGCTTGCAAGAAAGCAGCTGCAGTCAACTCAGCATCCGCTGCCCCGGAGCTAGTGCCTACAGCTCCTGCACAGGCTGAACGTTCACCTACAACTCGACATCCTGATTCTTGCTTAGTACTCAACACTGAAAGCCCAAAAGTTCCATGAAGAGGGAGGAAACAACCAGACAAAACAGAAGGTAAAAGGGTCAAAAAGCGAACCCTTAACCCATGTTCTGACCCAAAACTCAGAGGCACGTGAGCTGGAGAAACCACATTCAAAGATATGGCAAGCCCCTCAGAAAGGCGGTGTCTTTTCACGGCTTTCTACAAGCTGGGCCAACTCAAAGCTGTGGCGGTGGATTTCAGGCCTTGTTTTTAAAGTATTTAGGCACTCATGTGGGCAGAAAGGTCCTTGTGGGAGGCTTGGAAGCACTTGAGAGGGGAATCCAAGAAGCAGAAATGCCAGGAAGCATGTCCAAAAAACACAGGGGTGCATGCACTGAACTCTAAAAGGACAGCAAGCACCAATCTTCCCTTCATGTGTGCAGCAACCTATTCAACGAAAAACTACTGCCCAGCATCTCCTGGCGCAAACAGCCACATGGGATCTCAGCAGGACTTGGTACTTAGCAATGCGGTGGCTGCTCCATAATGCAATATCTTGAATCAAATGCTCTGTCAGTGCTGGGAATTGTAATGGCATAAAACCCCAGGGAAGACAAGGGTTGGCTTACGTATATCATCATTGCAACGCACCTCTGAGACCACAGTCTCACTGGCACCCATTAGAGACCTATTAGAATGTCAAAGAAGAGAAACTGATATCACAGCAAGAGCTATTTTAAGGGTTTTTTTCATTTACGCTACAGCTAAAGGAGATAAAACATAGTGACACCTTAATGCTCTCCAATAGGTCGGATTCACAGTCCCAGAGTTGGATTCTGCATATCCCACTAATCCTGCCAGCTCTGAACGCGCAAGTCAGAACATGGCATGCCTGCATGTCCAACACGGATATCCACGCATGCTGCTGTCAAGGTATGTCGCAAAGCATGCCCACAGCCCCCCGTGGCTGGGCTGCATCTGGCCTTGTCAAGCAATGCACAGGCACAGCAGAGTAGACAAGGAGACCATTGTGTACCCAGACCCTCCTTTGGACGCACATTATTCCCTCCCAAGCCCATTTTGTACAGTCAACAACAGAACAGCCAAGCTCCCTGAAATCTTCTATGTGCTAAACATGATTTAAAAGCCAGGTCTGCAGGTGCAGATTACCTCTGGCTGTTACACAGAAAGCAATTTTCAAGCTGCTCATGTTGAAAGCAATCTCCAAGCATGTTATTTCACAACATCCATCGAACTGTCATATTAAAAAGCTATTGCCCTATCTGGGGCATGCCTCCTTCTCCCACCCCCCCCCCGCTGCCATTTTTTTTTTTTAACACTTATTTTTCTTCCCATACAAAGCACCAGCCTCCCACAAACCTTCAGCTCACTACACATCAGCCTCAAGGATATAAACAGCTATTCTGACAAAAACAGCCTTTGTGCTGAAATTATTTCTCAATTTTAGTACTTTTCCCTTCCCCTCCCTCCCGCATGCTAGCTGTCCCTGGGAAGGACCAGCTCTTCCTGCAGAAACTCAAACCACAGCTGCTGAATCTGTAGGGGCTAAAAGACAGCATCATCATTTGACCCACAGACAGCAGTTGAGTGTACAGGCCAGGGAACAGCCTCTGTCTTTGTCTCCTCTCCCCGCCCAGACACACATTTACTCAGAAAAGGGAACAGTGCAGATGGATCTGTCATTTCCCAAGCAGGAAATCCATGCCACCGAAGTCAATGAACTCCTGAGGGGCCAAGGGGAATGACTCAGTGTCAACTATACCAAGCCTGTGAGAAGGAGACCCATTATTAATACCACCATAGGCCTCAATCCAAGGAAGGCCTACACCCACCCCTGCTTCTCTTGTCCAGCTCTGAGGAGCCTCCCTGCAATGCAGTTCAGCTCCCACTTACATCTGCGCAGGATTGGAGCCCAGCGTCAGAATACTGAAAGGCTTACTTCCCTTGAGACCTCTGCACTTTTCCTTACCTATGAGCCAATCCCTCAAGCATCCACCATCCGCTACCTACGTATACAGGGCCCAAGCAACCACCAAACTCTCTGGATGGGCAAGATATGACCAGGAGATGGTGACAAACTGTCATAAGGCAGTCCATTTTGAGACTGATGAGTGGACAACTTGTACTGACTGTCCTGTGCAATTATATTGCTTCTTAGGCAATTCCTGATTTTGTTTTCAGAGAATTACCTTTTATAGCTTGCACACTAAGTCCAATATGCTAAATGATGCAGGGGAAGAAGGAATAAGACTTGATCAATTTGTTTATTTCCATGTTCCTTAATTAATTTTAAGGATATTTTTCTGTTGGTTCAAGGAACACTAGGAAGGACTGTCATCTTCTTAGTGTTTTAATATGTTGGGGTGTTTTTTTTAAATGAACTCAAGGAAATCGAACTCCCAGCCACTTACCTGGATTCTGTCAGAAGAGCCACCTGATCCTTCTCCCAGGTGATGCTTGGGGCAGGCAGCCCTTCAATGCGGCACTCAAACCGGGCCATGCCATTTTCTTCCACTGTCTGCGACTCGGGCTGCTGGAAAAACCGTGATAATGCTGGAAAAAAAGGAAGGAGAAAAAGTTAATGTTTTGAAAAGCCTAACCCAGGCCATCCTGCTTCACTGAGCAAGCTAAAGGGTTCCTCTTCACTTGCAACTTGACCTCACTGAGTAGCCCAGCTGGCAAGTGCAACTCTCAACTGCCCTCTGACACACCTGTGGCCATGCCCTTCACAGTCCTGAGCACATTAACAGGCAGACACATTAAAAGTGGAAACTAAAGACTGGCCTCACATCTGTGGCCACAACCAATCCATCCATCCACTTCTCCCACTGCTTCATTGAACTGGCCCTCCATCTCCAGTCACCCCCATGAGACCCACACCACACTTTAGAAAAGGCAGGGAGCGCCAGTAGAGAAATGGGGAAAAGTCCCCTTTCTGGATAGACAATCAGATCTGAGCTCCAGGCTTGATCCTAGGGGAGCCACAAGCTCTGTACAGAGAAAGATAAATACCCCCCTCCTTCAATGCCAAGGGCCAAGCACAGCATGTGCAAGTGTGGCACTTGAAAGCCACAGCCAAGATCATAGCCCCATTGAACCAGGTTCTGTGTGTAAGTGTGAATGCACATGCACACGTGCACACACACACAGTGAGTAGCAGCTGCTACCCAAAATTGCTTCTTCCCCTCAATAAAACAGAAGAGAGTAATACTGTCCCCACTTGATAGATGGAGCAACGTGCCCAAGGCCACCCAGAGAGACAGCAGCAGAGCTAAGAACCGAATCACGGTCTTCTGCTTTCTAGCCCAACAGCAGCACTGCCCTTCCTCTTACTGAGGGGCCGATTCACCCTGTGGCCACCAAGACCCTCTTGCTTAGCAGCAATGGGCACATGTAAGAACAATGCGGAGTGCTGCGATCACACCTATTCTCTGCCCAAATCTTCTTCTTTTCCACATTTTTCCCCCCTAGAATAAGAAGCTTGAGACATGCTTCTGCAATAAGTCTTACTGTGTGGACCGATAGTCTCATCCAAGGTCAGTATCCATTCACCCACGCTCTGGGGGCCCAGTCTTCTTCCCATTAAAGTCTACGGCAAAATTCCCTCGGACTCCAGTGGAGCAAGACTGGTGCCATGGATGGAAGCCATCTGGTATATCTGCGGTTCTGCACCACACAAGGAAGGCCAGCCCAAGACCGCTGGAGATGCAGCAGAGTATCAATGCAGGTAGGCTACAGCCACTGAGGCCCTTGTGTGTCTCAGTAACACAATGGCATTCTGAACTTGATGCACAGGCCTCCTTAATGGGATGCAGGAAAAGCTTTTACTCCCCACAGGAAAAAGAACAGGGATTTGTTTTAAATGCACTGCTATTAATCCACCTGCACTGGGAAACCTATCCTGTAAATTCTTCTCGTAATCCTAGGGCATAAATGCCAGAAAGCAGGAGTGTGGCATAGCAATGGTCTTAGCTTCATAGAAAACATGAAACTACATTGCTAATCCAAGAAGAAAACTATTCAGATCATGATCCACTGACACTATAGTTAAATTATTTGCGCAAATCCCTCTTTCCCTCCCTCCACACACAAAAAAAACCTCTGAAGAATCTGATTTTACACAGCCCTGAAAGCATTTAGTTATATTCTTTTATATAAATAAATTGTTATGGCACAGCTATGAACCAGTTAACACTTCCACTGAAAAAACTGTCCCACTGGCACACCTCTCCCTCGAGAGCACAGAGATTTAAACTAAAAAAGCTTGTGAGAAAATTGTTAATTTTCTTTTTTAAGGATCTTTTTTAAGCAAGACCTCGAGAGAGAAGTTTTCAATCAGTAAAAACAGTAAAGTCGCACTTGGTGAAGCTGTTACCTTATCCTTAGCTGTGTCATTTAAAATCGGGCATAAGGGGGTCATGTCTTTCTGAAAAGAGTTTAAAATTTGATATGATTTTTATTATGTACAGAGGGTAATACGTGTATGCTTCGTAACTGGGTGTTATCCAGTACTGGATTGCAACTGGTGCTTTCACGTTCAAAGACTATTACCTTTTTCTAACTAAATGATCTAACCTGCAAAACAGAAAAAAGAAACCCTAAGTCTGGGAAGTCTGACACACAAGTATCTATTGAGTGTTAAAAGTGCTCCCTGTCATTATGTGAGGACGGCAGTAGCAAAATCTTTACCAATTTCCTATGGTGCATTTAAAAAAACTAAAAAAAGTTGCTTGGAAAATCCTTAAAAAAAAAGGAAAAGAAAAGAACAATTAAGAGCCAGATCCAGCCAAGCATTTGAGTGTTAAGTCCCACTGACTTCGCCAGATCTTAAGCACGCACTAGGAACACTTTGCTGAATCAGGGCCAAAATATCTCAGATAAAATCGAGTGGGATCCCAGCACACTTTAAGGTCCTGTCTAGACCAAGCAAACAGCCTGTTGCTGAGAACAGGTGCTAATAATGGATCTCCTTAGCTCTCTTCAGATGGTTGGAAAGATGGTTCTGCCCCAGCACAAGCAGGGCAGTACATTTTTAGTGCTCCTTAAAGCCATCCAGAGGCCGCATTCCTGGAAAGGTCATGGGGTTGGAGAGGGAAATCTTTTTTCAGTAATAAAAAATAAAAATGCAATGAATATAAAAGAAAACATGGACGCCTTGGGCAAGCCACTCCTAGCTTCCTTCCCATGTATGGTTGAGTGTAAACACCTCGGGGCAGACTTTCAGAGGCTCCAGCGAAGCCACAAAACTGTTCCCACCAGCTTAGACTATTCCCTGATACACAACAAAGCAGCTCCATCTCTTCTTCACCCCCAGGAACAGCTCACGCCCGCTGTACAGAGTGCCCAACTGAACAGACCAGCCTGGTGCACTCTCCTTTTCAGCCTGGGGCCTCCTCCTGCTCTTGCCCATGGTACTGGAAGTGTCTTCTGCCCAGGGCTATACTGTTAGGGCTGGGAACGTGGGGCACTGCGCATGTTCAGTCACAGCAAAGAGTCCTACTGGGAATCAGGGCCTGGATAGGTAAGGGATCCTCTTCCCTGTGGAATAAGCAACATGGGACGGCTGGGTAGCACAGGGGAATTGTAGGGCAGTGGTTTTATCCAGCAGGCTGCAATGGTAGATAGGGGGTAGGGAGAACCTGGAGAAGTAAGTTCATCTCCCTCTTCCTCTCCACCCCCACTTTCCCTTGGTGCCAGGCAGCACGCTGAGATGCCAAAGGGCTGCCTCCCTAAAACTCTGCAGACAGGCTAATTAGCCAAGCACAGTGCCATGCTAACACAACTCTGCTGCTTCCACTTTGGAGCTGGTCCATGAAGACCTACCCCAGGGGTCTCTGTCGCTGGGCACCCACGAAGGAGGCAGGCTGTGGAGCTGGGAACAGGTTATAAGCAGGCTTAGGGGTAAGTGGGCTGTGGGACTGGGGGTGAGGAACATGTGGGCCATATGGCTGACCCAGGGGCTGGACTATGGATAACAAAGCGACAGCTAGTGTTGTGAAGAGTTATCTTGAAGCATCTCTCTTCTTCAGGTTTCAGCTTCTCCCTTGACTAGCTCTGGTCCGGCACTAAGGACACTAATGGGAACCTGCCCCAGAAAGTCATCACTGCCCTATGGCTGCGCAGACTGCCTGGACAGCCCAGCCTTGTCCTGGACAGACCCGTCTCCACCACAAGAGTTACTCTCTCGAGTCTGGCACTGCTGCCTGGAAGACACGGCAAGGCCTGGACGGGCAGCCTTGCCTCCAACGGGGCTTTGGTGAGGCAAAGTCGAGGCATGTTGGTTGGGCAGTGAAGGGCAGGATGTCTTGCTGCTGCCAGTGAGGTCCCTGTTTTGTGGGGAGATGACTTGTTGCCAGCAGCTGTGAAACAAAGCTGAACACCTTACAGGCATCACTCTGCACAGCACCGAAGCGGGCAGAGATTTGCCCACCAGTGGCATGATGCCATGGCCACAACACATAGCCTATGCCTGGGGTGTCAGGAACAGCATTTTGCCACCAATGTATTTGTTCTCTTTGTTTCTTCCATAATGAATACCTATTCCTAGGATGGTGCTGTACAAACATGCAGTAAGAGGATGACTCAGCCTGAGCTGCCCTCCTTCTAAACAGATGGGCCAAACACAGGGTGACAGGAGAAACAGAGGCATCCAAGAGTAAAGTGATTTGCTGGAGACCGCACGGTAGGTCAGTGCCAGACCCAGAAAAATACCCTGCCTCTCCAGAGTCACCTTCCAAAGCCAAGACCATGCCACCTAGCTAAGCCTCATAGACACAGTTCCTGCTTTCATTACACAGACCAATCTCCCCTGGCTATGCAGAGCCTTTGAACTCTTCTGCTTCCAGGTCAGGAGAGACTGAAAACAACATCTGGCAACTCTCTAGTAGTCTGCCTATGAATGAGTTTATGATCTTCGCTTAAGTCCCACTGTAACTACATCTCCCCTGCCCCCAAACCACCACAACAGCTGGAAGTGTCAGAGACGATCTGTGCACAAACACCATGGTTCGACCAGGCAGAGCTAAGTACACTACAACCTTCAACTAGAGGCCTATTTGGGCAGGAGGGAGAAGATGGGTGTGCACTGCCCTCCAGAACCAGGGGTCACAAAATGAGAGGAACAGTGGGAAAAACCCTGGTCGTACCCAGTTAACTGCCTTTCAGCATCCACTCTGCACTGTGTGACACAGGAGACTGGGCAAGACGGACCTAGGGTCTGACCCCAGAAGTGGCAATTCTTCTGTTCTTATGCACCTGGCACAGCACTTAACCTGAGCACTTTGCTCCTTGGGCTGCTGATCCAGGGTCTTCCCATCACACAAATGCTGTACAACTCTTTGGAAACAAAAGTAACTCCAAGTCCATGTATCCCCATTTAAAAATGACAGGACACTGAATTGAATGACAACTGCTACAACCTCTGGCCAGCTAAGCCCCGCAGTATAAGCGAGTGCATTTCTCCTTCTACCGTAGCTCAGGTGCTTCTCCCAGCGCAACCGCACAACACCGGGAACACGTATCATGCCTCTCCAATAGTCATAATATAACATGTC